TATATATATACAGTATACATATATATTTTTTAAAAAMCATTTTTCATTTCAGGGCTGCAATAAAGTAAAATCCTGTAAGATTCATGTTGCCATAAGTGAGCAACTAAAACTGGTCACATTCTCTGGTGTTCACTATCTGTTTATCAACCTGAAGTAAATACATCTTCAAGCTCTTTCTTTCTAAACAAACATTTTTCTGTTCAGAACTGTCACCACACCTACAAACTGCTGACAAACTGCTTAAACCCCATGCTGGCTTGTGGTTATGAAACAACAACAACAACAACAACAACAACAACAACAACAACAATAAACGAGTTCACGGATGCTTAACTTTCTGTAAAAAAAAAGCAGCATAAGTGACATGTTACATGCAGAGTTTTGACTTAATCCAATTACAAAGCAACATGAAAATGATTCCTTTTATCAGTCTTTCTGTCGGCTGCTGAACAGAACAGAATCGGTGGACGGGTCTTCTATCTGCCAAACATCAGATCCTCCTCTTCACTGATGAAAAACGTACAATTCAGCAGTTAATATCATTGCTCTGCCGTACACTTCCCACAGAAACAGCTCCAGGCTCACTGCATCTGTGTGATTTCTTTGAAACAGAAGCATTTCAGACTTTAACTCAATCCAGCGCAGCAGGAGAAATGCAGCATTTTTTTTATTCTCCACATTAAAGTTTAAACACTTTGTAGCTTTCGTTTGGCAATTTTGTTCAACTCCTTCTATCGTATTTAATAAGTTATGTCTTCTTTCCTTGGGTGTTAAAATTTGGATTCACAAGTTTAGTTTGAGCTCAGATTTGACTTAAAACACAGAATTAGAGAAATTCATTGCAGCAGTAATTTAATATTTCATTGTTTTGAGGCACTCACTGCAGTCAGGGATTAATGGAACTGTCTGAGACTTCTGCACCTGTCCACAGTCCTTCATGTGCACACAGCTCCAGCAGGTTTGAAGAGTCGTTTCTTCAGACTGCATGTTTTATCTCCTTCCACAGATGGTCAACAGGATTTATATCAGGGCTCAGAAAGCTACTTCAGAAAAAACAAAGTTTTGTGTTTTTGTTTTAGTGTTTTTAGTTTATGTTTGGATCCTGTTGAAGGACCCTCGACATGTGACTGAAACCATGTTTTCTGACACAGACAGCACATTATGCTCCAGAATACCTTGATAGTCTTGAGATTTCATGATACCATGAACAGAGTCAGGACACCTCGATCCGGATGCACAAGAAACATCTCCAGAACTGAGCCCTCTCCACGCTGCGCTCTAGTGTTGTTTATATGCTTCAGTTTTGGACCTGTGAAGTGGTTTTTCTGTCTTTCTGTGTTTCTTTTTGTAGTTTTTTTTCTGACGCTGTTTTGTTTTTAACCTTTTTTCTGTTTTTCTTTCAGTTCTCCTGTCTTCACGTGCAAACTCAATGAAACAGTTGATACTCTTCCTGACACAACCTGAATTTGATTCTGCAGCCTCAGGATGGTAAGACCCCAGAGTTGTGTTAGATTTACTTAAACAAATGATGTAAACTGGTTCCACTTCACTGAATTGAGTAAATGTAACACATTTACTTCACATTTACTTTTACTCAGTTCAGTTGAGTGAAATCAACTGACATAGCTTGTTTTAGTAAATCCAACATGTTTTTTAAGTGCATGAACAATTTATTTTTCTATTATTCTTTTACTTTTTCTTCATTTTCCTTTTTAACAAAAGGGTAAAAACAAATTTATCTGCACCAGCTGCAAAATTCAGTCAATCTGTTTTTTTTTTTCACAAGTCTAAATGTGTGTTATTGTCTATCCATCCATTATTTTGACCTGTTTCCTCCAATTTAAGTTGCGAGGTTCGTTTACCTTTTACATTTTAGATTTACTTAAAGTAAATGTTTTTCCTTTACT